TCAGACATCGTTCTGCCTGGCTGGCTGGCAGGGCCTAAACCAGCCAGCAGACTCAGATCAAATCTTAATTTCTGCTCTTCATTTAAAGTGAGACCAGATGACATAATATGCCTTTTACTTTTGTGGTTACAGCATTACAGCATTATCCTGTAGTTAATTTCCTTCTCTGCTTGAGTGCTTATCTCAGCAAGTGGATGATGAGGTGCTCATTCTGACAGAGAGCTGTGTCAAACTACTGCTGTCTGGGGTGTGTTTTAAAGCAGCAGGAAGAGGCTTGTGTTCAAATTATACAGGGGAGGTGGAGGGAGCCTGGACTCTTCCTCTTTCCTATTCTGGCTGAACAAGCTCTAGATGACAAGAATTTCACTAGATGATGGTAAGGGTTTTTTGTATCCTGCTTTAGATTTCACTGCAGAGGGAAGGGCAAATTACCATGCTCTGAAATGCTCAGTAATTTTGAAAACTGGACATCCAAAACATGCAGATGCACATTACCCTGTACAGGAAAATTATTAGAAGTCTGTGTCCCAGTCTGAGGTGAGAGATTTAATCATTATACTGTAGAATAAGAGAGGAGTAATTACACTCCTCCTCCTGTGTTTTGTGAGAATGGGGCTGTTTAGGGACCTGCAATCAAGGACAGAAGCTTTCTGCTGGGTCCAGGGATGCCAGATCTGGCTCACAGCAGCTGCTCATACCTACCTTCTCCAGGCTGTCAGCCCAAACACACTAATTTGCTTCAGGCACAACAAAAGAGAATAGCTCTAGCAGTGCAGACACCTGGCATCAACTTGGTTGAATTTCCTTGGGGTGAGGTAGGGAGTTGCCCCACAGACTCAGTCAGTTACAGGTGGCCTGGCGCAGGAATCTCCAGCTGGGGAAAAGAGAAAACATCTGCTCTTGCCCTAATTTTAGGAGGGAGTTCAAAGATAAAAATACCTTAGGTGGGAAGTTCCTCCTTTTATTTCAGAACTCCATGCTGAAATCTGGTCTCCTTGAAACTATTGCCAAATGCCCCTCAGAGTGGCAGGAGAAGCACTAGGGAATGCAGGGACAAATGCTCTGCAGTCTGTCACCTCTGCTATCCTGAATGCCTCCAGGCAGGTTGAGACGGTCCCTGTCCCCAGCAGCCTCTGCTACTCCCAGATTCTGGCTTTCTCCTTCAACCTTTCCTCTCCTTCCTGTTTCTTCTTGAGTACTTTTTCTTGTCACCTCCTTTTTACCAGATCTGAACTTTGGCTGATCCTGCATGGGGCTTTCTTCTGCAGACTTGGAAGCAGCAGCAAATTCTGCCAGGGCCAGGGGGAGCCTGGGGAAGGGAGAGTGAAAGAACTGGGATGGGTTGGTGTGTATGAGGTGTGCATCAGCCACCCTTGATCTATTGTCACAATTGCTTCTGCAATTGCTCCTTAACCAGTTCAGCCATGCGCATATCAGTTTTAACAGATTAAGTGCCAAAAGCCTTGGATCTTTTTGACCAAGTAAGTTAGAAATGAAGTACATTAGCACTTTATCTTGGTGGATCTAATGGGTCTAATGGAATTAAAAGATGCAGCTTGGGGTAAAATGAGCAATAGGTGTCTAAAAAAATATGCTCAGTCTTAACTTTGCCTAGAAGGGAAAGTGCAGTGCCAGTTCTGTGTGCCAGCAAAGTCATTGCTGAGACGAGACTGAATCTCACTGAATCTCACTAAGCAACTTCAGAAGAAGGCATCATCCTGGAGTAAATTCTAAGGGTGTACTTTTGGGTTTGTAATTCCCAGGTTACAAGACTTCTTGATAAAAAACTTATAGTATGTTTACCGGGTGGGGGGTTGTTGGAGATTTTTTCAGAAATGGCTTAGAAGGCAGCTGTGAGGAGTAAAATTCTCACAGCTGGTTTCTGTAAACAGCAGAAGTTCTCAGGTTGTTTTTAATTACAAGTAAAAGTGACAAACATGAAGGCCTTGAGAACCTTGCATACCAGAGTTCTCAGGCAGCTTTCTCATAACAAGTAGATATTCTATCTTTGGCTGTTTTGGGAAAGCAAAAATAATTTTGAGAACCCAAATCTTGGTATTGGAAACATAAGGAGGAGTTGGTGTGTTATCTCTGACCTATTGTGAGCTCGGGTTTGCAATATGCATGAACTTAATTAACACGGTTATAAAAAGTGATTGATTGAGTGAATAAACGGAGTCAGATGCTGATCAAGAAAGATGGGTCTCTCCCTCCATCTTTAATAGAGGGTTACCTGATACATACGTCTTTTTTAGAGATAAAGAAACTTTTCCAGATTCCTAGTCATTTCAGCTTTCATATATTTTTCTCTACTTTGTGCTGAGAAGGAAAAACTTTACTAATATGAATTGTAGAAAAGTCAGAGGGAGAGAAAAAAAAGAAAATTGTTCACAAAATTTTATTACGGATGCCAACAATAGGAAATGTGGTCTTTATGTGGTCTTATAGAGTCACAAGTTGTGATTTTCCCAGATAGTAAAATTAGCATCTATATTGCTAGGACAAAGCTCCAGATTATCTCTGTTAAGAAGACAAAGGGAAAAGTAAATAGGAGCTTTGAATATGGGTATGCTTATTTCCTTTCAGACTTGAGTCATCAAAAGAAAAGTAAATTTAATTTCATTTGGGAGATTAGACCAATTACTGCGTGGCAGAAGGGAGTGCTAACACATGCTTCAAACTTTGGTTTCATTTGACTGGAAAGTGACTATACAATGATGTGAACAGAGATTGAAGTAATTTAATATCTTTTGTATACTGAAAAAGCAGAAGTTGACAAAAAGACAGTTTCCCTCTTTATATCAGCAGCAGAAATGAAAATGTATTTACCACATCACTGGGGTAAATTTCTTAAAAGATTTAAACAAGACAGTTCTGATAGGGTACTGATAGCATTAATTCCCAAATTAAAGAAATAATCTTACTGGTAAACCCGTTTCTTCAACTTGTTCGTTTTCAAACATTAGTTGGATGAAGTTTGTTTAAATTGAGTGCAAGTTTTACAGTATTATACATCAAATATATTGTAGCTTAAAATATATATTACTTATAAATAGCACAGGGAAGTTTAATTTGGGTTTTACCTTGCATCTGTGTAATAAACAATTGCAGTGCTTTGTATTTTCATCTATAACTTTATAGTGAATACTCCACTAAGGATAAAACAGGCTACATATAATTGAAAGTTATCTTTTATTCTAATTGTTTACAATATTATTTTTGTAGAGGTAAATTTGTATTCCAATTATCATCATCATCATTATATCATAAGCCTCTGACATGCAATATTGCTAACCTGTGGTATCTTAGTTTGCCACAGTTCATTGGCACTATTATTGATATTGATGGGTTTATTTTTTCTAGACATTAAGTGAGCAATTCATCAGGACAACAACAAAGACCGGAATAGAAAGATAAAACATCCAGGTTAGTAACTCATTGAGTGTTTCACACCTTAAAAGTTTCTGGAACACACAAAAGCCATGAGCTGATACATGGACATGCCAGCATGAGTAAGAGTGGGAGTGTCATGTGTATAAGGATTCAGGTGCTTGCTTGCTGTGAACCCAAACTCTCACCTTATTATATAATTTAGTAATAAAAGGTCTGCCCGCAGAGATCTGAGGAATAAAAAAAGGGAAAAAAAGACCTGTTGATCAATAATAAATTCATTTTTATGTAATACATTTCTAAATACATTTACAGATTTTCAAACCAGCATGCAGAAATGAAGTTGTTTCTAAACTTCACCATCTAAAGATGCAGACAAGTACTAGGAGACATTTACAGAACTAACTTGGGCCCAGACTTCCCAGCATTTTTACATGAGATGATGGTCTTGAAATTAGTTCAGGACCTTTTTAATAGTAGGAGCCTATCAAGATTGTGTGAAGTATCCAAGCTCATGATACGGTCAATGGAGAGTATTAGCTAGACCACAGAAATCTCTCTTTCCATTGGCTGTAAAATGCCCCATATGCATTTTTAGTATCCACTTGCAGGAGCAAACTGATGGGAAAAGGGTTTAGCAGTGAAAATCCCATTATGTATGCTCACCCCATACTTTTCAATTACTAAATCCAAATGTAAGTGTACCTCCAAGTAAGTGCTGCCAGTTTTACAACTGAAAAGTTTGTGACTAAAAATGCTGTTCTTCTAATAAGACCACCAAGAATGAGAATGAAGTTGGACTTATTTCAAAAGCTTCTGTGCACAAGAAAACAACCACACTTTACCTTAGTTTACATAACTGGCAATCAGATGAAACAATCCTGAAATGAAGGAATAAGATTTTGTTGATGTTTGAGATAAAAGGATGAATACCTGGCATGGTATTTTCATCCTGATTATTAATAATCTGCCTTGCTAGAACACTGGACTAGCCAGTAGCCAAGTAATTTCACAGAAGCATAAAATCCAACCCCTAATCTAATTTCTAGAATATATTTTATGTATTGCCACACTAGCAATGTAATTGCTTGTCCTGTTTACTGCATGTCATGATTTCTTCAATGTGATGTTTCTTTTCCAAACCCTCTGTGTTAAAGAACAGAAGCAATGCTTGAGATGGGTTTCATTCCTTTTCAGGTCATGCTAACATAGCAGTAGCCAGGGCAAGGATGGTGAACTGCAATTATTCTCTAATCAGGTTTTCCCCACTAGTAGGTTGTAAATTAGGAATTTGGCTGCTTTTACTGTTTTTTATCTTTTCAGAAGAAATTAGAGATATTGAAAACATACATCTGCCCAAAGGATGTTCCACCCTAGGACGAATGTGAATGTGTGTAACTGTCAGTAGATTTTTTTTTCCCCGCAAGATACTTTAAATTTTGCCTAACCATTTTAACAAAATCAGAATGTCTTGTTTTGTTTTTTGTAGCATTATCAGGTCTATGCCAAAAAACCCCAAACAAAACAACAAAACACCAAAAAAACCCCAAGAAACCCAAACCCAAGAAACCCCAACACCAGCTCTGAAGATATTTATTTCATTTGAACCTAAAACCATTAATTTCACTTGTTGTGTGCCTGATTTGAGACCCTTTAGCTTGGATCACTTCAGAAAGCCTAATTCTCCCTGGAAAAAAACAAAAAGAAAAGAAAATGATGGGCTGTTCCACCTACTAAATGGATTGATTTGGGGGAAAAAAACCCAAAACTCCTAAATAAATACATATGAGTTAAGGGGATAAAAAAACAAAAGAGAATTTACTATTCTTATTAATTTGATTACAGGTTTCACATGGCTCACAAGGCCTGTATGATGTGGGGCAGTATTTCAAAAGCAGAATGTGACATCTTCTAGTCATGAGTATCACTTATATTTTTAGTTTTGTGTCTGTTACTCAACTGCTTGCTGCTTTAATCTCTGTTGTTATTTTCTTTTGTTTCTAACACTCTCACCCTGACTTTTTTGAGATGTTAAGAAGAATTGCTGTAACTGGAATTGGTCTGATTGCACTCACATCTTTTTTCCCTTCTTTGCCTTCTCTGTGTATTTATAATTAGGGAGCTCATTGAAAAGCCTGTCCTTGCTTCTAAACGTCATGGGCTAAGTTCAGCTTTTGGAACTCTAGGCCAGCATCTCACAGGGTCAACACTGGTTATGGCTGGACCACATATGCTTTTCCACAGTTTACTGTTCCCAATGCTCACCTCATCCTCTGTCAAAATGATCCATGTTATCTAAAAGTCCATTTATAATCTGCTGAAAACAACCTAGCTCTTCCTGACTGGAGTGGGGTGAAAATTAGGGATAGGTTTGACAAATAATCAATTTCTGCATTTGGACAAAAAAGATAGGTTATATGTATTTTCCATATGACTATTACTATTTTCTTTTATTATTCCCATCTGTGTCTAGGTACATTATTAAATAGGTTCTATTATAACCTGTTGTCTGGTAGGAGTTTTTCAGATAATACGGATCTTTTAGATCATTTAAAGTCATATCTACAATCTGCATGGGCTGCTTTCTAATAATTTGGAGAAACCATGAACATTTTCAGAAATTGCAATAAAGTTAATGTTTCTAATGATAGTTTTGAAAAAAGAGAGTGAAGAGCCATCTTATTCTAGGTACATTTTCTTAAATCTTAAGCAGTTAGACATCTGACATGGTAAATAATACACTCAATGCTGGGTAATTCTCAATAAGCAATCAAAAGAATGTTTAGAGGATCATTTAATGTTATCTTGTCAAAATAACCAGTTATTTTATTGAGATTTTAAGTTTGGTCAAAATCAGTGTTACATTGTACTAGACTTCTGTAGTACATTGCTTGATATCACAGTTTTGTGTTTCAGCCAAAAGCTTAAATGACAAAAGATAAATACAAGGTCTAAGGAATGGATTAAAACATTGTGTACAATATGAAGCTGTTCTTTGTCAGTTACTCCTAAAGCAAGATCCCTCAGGAGTCACAACTTGGTCTAAGGTGAGTAATTTCTTCCTATTTGCTTATCTGGGTCTGTATTCACATGTGCAGGCAAAACATTATGGTACAATCCAGTGGAAGCAAGCTAAAGCCAAGAAAAATCAATAGACACAATAGTTAGGAATGAGGACAATTAGTCACTGGAACCAATTCACTAAGTGTTTTGTGGACATCTCTTCAACCTATGTTTTAAAGTCAGCACTTGCTATATTTCTAAAATAAGTGTAATAGTTCAGCTAAATCATGTAATTGAAACCATTAGCCCAAAGTCCAAGGAAGAGAAACAAAGACAAGTCCTATTAATCCTCTGGTCACAGTTTATTCACCAGTGGTATTAGACTGGATTCTGTGCTTGCGTCAGTTTCCCAATTTGATTCAAACATCTACTATTTTTAAATACCACTTTCTGTACCTTTTTATCTTCCATGAAGTATTCTTTATTTTCTTTAATTTTAAAACATTTTGCCACTTCCAAGAGAAGACATGGGAAAAGTAATATTTTCTGCCATATAAATGTTCCTGGAATTAGTATTTATCATAGATACTGACAAATATGAGTACAGAAAGTACATTGATGATAAAGACTGAGTGTTGAGTTCAATTTTGCTATGTACTGAGTGTTGCAAATATTACTCTGTAAGGCAGCTTTTTACCTCCCATTGGCACCTGGAAGCAAAAGAAATTTTTTGCACTTTGCTGCTTTTGATAGTAGAGGACATCTGTTGATTTTCACTTTAAAAAGCAAATATTGCTGAAATTAATGGCAAGATTTCCAAGACCAAAAGAGATATGGAACAAAGGCTGCCACAAAATAATTTATCTTTGAAGATATCTACTGAACCACTGAACACAATAATGAACAATATATGAGTAGATGTTTCCATTCACATTGAATTCACATCTGCTTAGATATAAAAGTTACAGTCCTCAGGTCCATTGATTTTCCCCCCAAAAAAACCAATTAATATAATAATATAGGAAAATAATATTGTCTTCATTTATGAAATGTGTAAACTTTTGCTGATGGATTGCACAATTCAACAGCAGAATTTTTTTTTCTTTAGAAAATACAAACCCAGAAACTATTTCAAACAATCAGACACAAACCATAATAACAGCACATTAAAGTCATACTGCTAAGGTTTCAAAAATCAAGACACAGATTGTCAAATATGTCTATTAATTTTGGCCCTCTGTGAATGTGTATTTACTAAATTGTTTTAAATGTTTTTACAGTGTACCGTACTGTGCATATAAATTTGTGCTTTCTAGAAGTAATTTAAAATGAGTAAAATACAGCATTGAAAAGCTGCTTCTTGATTAATGCTGCACTAATTTTAAAACTTAACTGGGTATCTTAACCATGCCATTAGAGTTAAACATGTAGTTAGGCAGTATGGATATTCAATTTTGTGTTTTCACGTGCAATCATGAACTGAATAGTCTTAGGAAATTGTGACTGGGATTGGCAGCTGAGCAGTTTGAAAGTTCTCCATCATACATTGTGTTTTTTCGTAAATATGCCCTGGAACAGAAAGTGTGTTAATGTGCTAATACCTGACCACAGCTCGTGCACTGTGCAAACAGTGGGCACCTTGGGGACACACTATGGTTTCTTCTCTTACAATATAGCAACTATTCACAATCCAGTGTTGAAATTTGCATTGCTTAGGGTTAATTGTCTTGTCCTGAACATATCCAGACAGCACTTAAGTTATCATGCACATTTCTGTACAGTAATCTTGTAATCATTCACATTACCTGTCTACAGCTTTGCATATAAGCCCTCTTAAAAATAGGTTCACTCAGTGGCAATATAAATATCAAGGCATTTATCAACATTTGCTGAAAAATTAGCGCCCACACTAGCTCTGAAAATATAATAAGTGAAGATATCTTTAGACCTACCTGAGAACCAAATTATTGTCCTGCTTAACAAGTTCACATAAAATTAGAGAAGGCTGGTGTCTGTCTGACACTGGCTGAAGCACCAGGGTAAGAGAGTGCAGTACCTGCAAAAGAGCAGATGAAGGCTGACCTGTAGTTGTGGCACCAGGAGGCACATGGATGACTGTCACCTAGGAATGACCTGGGCTCTGAATGAACTGTATCCCACCTGAATACACAGGGCACAAAAGCGCTGTCTGCTTTCTTCTGCAACATTTGACACCAATTACTGTTCAGTGTGAAAGAAGAGGTTTCTTAATATATGCATAAGGCATTGGCCTAAACGATTAGCAGCATATATAGTTAATGCATCACTTAACTTTTGACCATGAATAGAAGTGGTGTCAGCACCTGTGGTTCATTGACCAAAGACTGAGAAGAACTGTACTTATCTCTCAAGAGGCCATATTGCATTTTTTCCTAGACTGCAGGAAAAGCAATTTTCCTGAAAGTAATTTAGTACCATGCAATTATTCCTCCTCACTGCTCACTCTTTATCTGTTTTGCTGTTAATTAGAAGATCACATTTTTTAGAAGATATCACCTCCAGTTACAGTTATGAACTTCACCCAGGAGGTGCCATTTCCCATGTTGGTCTCAAACCAAGCATGGATAGATAAGCTAATGTCATTTGCTATGCTCATAAGAGCAGAAAAAAAAAATAATTTCTATCGGTATAGTAAGCTCCTCTTTTAAGTGCCACAACCTTCAACTTGGGGATCCCAAATTAAATACTTTAGGATATATGTCAAAAGAGGAGAGTGAGTATTTGCAACAGAAGAGTTGTCATTCAGGATGGCAGCACAGCACAGAACTCTCTCTGACACTGAACTGTTCTTTGTAAGGCAGACCTCACACACTGTAAGCAACCAGACTGAATGTAGAGTCTTTCCACAGTCTCTCATGATTTTCTAATTGGTAAGTAATGATGGATTGTTACCTGCAGATAATTAAGTTATTTTCCACAGGATTGTAGTGTGAACAGACATCTGGTAATGTGCATAAGTGAAAGAGAGTTATAAAAATTAGAGTGTTATGTTATAGAACTCTTTGAGGTAAACAAACTCCTAACAAAACATAAATGATTTTGTTTGAATTAAATTTTGAACAAATAACAAAAATCTGTTGGAAACAAAAATTTTGGGACATGGTTCTTGTTTACATTTTGTGTAATCAATGCAAATTGTCTTTAAAGGAAATTAATATTCTTGCATCCACTTTACATCAGGTTTATAGTGCCAGACTGGGATAAAGGGGCCTTTGGAAATTCTTGAAGAAATTTCCAAAGATCTTAGGAGAAAATACACTATATTCACATTGACTTCATAAGATAGGAAGCCAAACTTAACAGGCATTATCTTTAATAATTTCTTCCTCAAGATAAAATATAGGAAGTATAACAGAAACAAATATCAAATCAAGATAGATTTGGAATCAAAATGTCACTCAAGCAGTTAGTCAAGAAAGTTGTTGTAAACCTCTGTATGAAAGTGTGTTCGTGGGTTTTATTTTGTTTGAAATGTTTATCTGAAAAGAGCAGGCAACTAAATGTAGAAGGTATGTGTCATATGTCTGGGGTGATGTGGTGATAGTATGTTCTTACGATCACAGTGCATGTGCCTGAAGGCATTTTATCTTTGCGTATGATTTCATTCTTCTATTTCTTCTAGACTGAGGCATATTATTTCTTTTAGAAGGGCTTCACTGGAAAATGAAAATGTGTTAAAACACATTTCCCTTTCTCCTCCAATGAAAATGAGAATGAAATAAGTTTTCCTTCTGAAAAAAACATATAACTCTTGAATCAGTCTAATATGGTTCATATGGTAAATTAAACAAAAAAAAATTGAATGCTTTTTGAAAATTGTTGGATTTTTACAAAGAAAATCGAAAGACATCTTTAAAAAGCAACTTTTTTATTTTACTTTAGATGTCATTGCTGCAAAGTTCAAATGCATTAAAATGACATCCCCCATGCCTCATTAGAATGCGACTGTTGTTTCTTCCCTGAAGAATCTGTAAACCATCAAGCACTTATTATAGCACAATACCACAAATTCAGAATTAGGAAGTACAGTATGGGAGATAACATACTTTGAGCTGCAAGATGAAACGAAGATCCTTTCCACAGATGAAAATTTGAAAAATGCTTATCTTTTTTGAGGTATCTGTAAGGCAAAAGAAAAGATCCAATTTTGGTTACTATGTTGCACTTAGCTAACAGACACTATAGGGTTTTTAAAAGTATTATCTATCTTTTTCTTATTGGTATGTGTTATTTTAAAAAATTATTTCGTGTTTGTATGGGCTTTTATGCCCACCTGAGGTGACAGCATTTTATCAAAATTTGAAATGTTTATTATGTAACTTTGAGGACAAAATGTGTACTGTGATCCAAGTACAGCTTACACATAAGCTGTAGTATGAAAATAAAATAATACTTATTGTGGTTAAAAGAAATGTAGAATCTAGGATACTGTAACAATTTGCATAGATTACTAGTAGGTCTTCTAGCACCTACATTTTTGAAGTATTTGCATTTTTTAAACACTTCCTCCTATTCCCATAACCTCTTGTAATTTTGTTGCTGTTACTGTGCAGTGCTGGAAAAAACCCAACCCCAAACAACCGGCTTCTGAATTATGGAACTTAATTTTCAACTACAATCATGTCAGGTCATGTCAGATGGCGTAAGATAGCTCTTTTTCTGTTTCATGTTAGGTGCTAGGCTATATCTCTATCTATATATATCTATATATATGTAAAGCATGTATTTATATTCTCCACAGTTTAGTGGATTTGTAATCATCTTGAAGTACCCAGAAAAATATGTAGATAGCCTTTGAATGCACAGTGTCAAATAATTAGAGAAGTCCAGTGAAATTGAAAAAAATTAGAAATGATCCCACCAAAGCTAAGTATTCCAGCTCTAGCCTGGTTTAAAATAAAACAGGAGTTTCTTTGAAGAATTCAGAAAAGAGTGAAATGAGATATCTGAACATAAGATTAAAATTAATGCCTGATCTTGTATACCCACACACAACTAACATGACCTAACATGTTAGAAAATAATTAATGTGGTTTGGTAAGTAATTTTGCAAGAGCACAGATCTGGATTTTCAGATGCTCACTTTGTGCTTTACTTGGCTCAAACAACTCTACTTTAAAGTGTTGTGCCATGATGGAATGATAATTGGGTGTTGATGAAAAACATCAATCATCATTGTATTGTGATTTGAATTATATTCGTTCTAAAGTTGAGCGGTGAGATGTGAAATAAACTGTATGGGTTTGGTGATTGCACTTTAAAAGCTCCTTCATTTCCAGTCCAACTGTGAATCATTCTTTAAATCAATAGAGCTTACTGAAACTCTAGGATTACCTGAAAGAGTTTTGAAGAGTTTGTCAGTAAGAAAAAAAATATCATGACTATTTTCTATTACGTGTATCTTTGTGTTCCATATCCTCCCTAATAGTTCTGAACCCTTAACGTGGACAGTTTTCCACCATTCCTGCTGGGACAAGCAGACTGATTTTGAAGTTTTGTTTATCACGTCATTCAGTGGAAGTGTTTTCTAATCAGTAATTTAAATGATTCATGTGCAAAGAAATTAAATTAAAGATAAAATTGCACAAAGTTTCATTGATCTTAGGGTTTTTTTATGCTAGATACTTTAGATCGTTGGAAGGAATTAATATTTGCCCATGGTTGAAAACAAGCATCATTACATAAAAGAGATTAGGTAAAGCCAAAATTGCTTTCTATGTGGAGCTGTTTTTATTGTTTCTTCCATAATAACGAGCCTTTAACTACACAAGTGGTTTGTTGATCACAAGGACAGAGCTGAGGCTTGTCAGAGTTATTCTGATAACTCAGAAAGTCCAGAGTAAACATGAGACTTACAAACAATGGCTACAAATAATGTAATCAATATTCCTTGCAGCTCTCATGACAGTGTATATCTTCAGAAAGGAATACAGATGATGCCATAGCATATTTAATCCTTGAAGTTGCATTTCAGCTGACTGGCCCTTCTGCTTTTTCCATCCTCTCATGCTAAGACCACAAGGAAAATACTAAAAAATCATTAAAAAATTGTTTTCTCTGCTTAATATTTGTTGGCATCAGAGAAAGAAACTAATATGAAGGCTTTTTTTCACTCTAGTGCACAGAACCAAAACAGTGGCATTTTCTGTTATTGTTTTTTCACATCCAGCATTTCAAATCTTCTGAGGCTCTTAGTGCTAAATAGCAAGAGATCAGAGTTTCTGACATTAAGGTGGGATTTCATAATTCAATAAGGTCATAAATATATATATATATATATAAATATATATATAAATATATATATGATGATTTCAAATAAAATTTGTGTGTGTCAGAAGATGCACAAAGATTCAGAGCTGAAGGAATTTGTTTCATGGAGGACTTAAGTATGGAGAGGAGGGATTATCACCTTAGGCTTTTGTTCTTTGGTGTTTCTACACCATAGAAACTAGGCTGTTGTGTGAGAATGAGTCAGAAAGTTTATGACTAGGGAGCTTAGTTGATCAGGGCCAAATGCAAGAGAGCTCAATGATGTAGCAAATGAGCTGGAGAAGTGTGTTGCAACTGTTAGAATACAAATACATTTGAAGATGTTGAGGGAGGAGTGAACAGTAGGAGTTATACTAGGGGAATCTTCCACTTTTTACTCTTTGCTGCAAAATATGTGAAGAAGGGGATATTTACTTTCCCCTTTTCTTCCTATTGTCATCCATCTTCCCTTGTTCTCCCACTTCTCTTTAACTTCCTCCTCTTTGATTACAGTGTTCTTGTTTTTCCACTCTGAAAGTATGATCAACATGCCTGGGAATGCATGGTGCAGACTGTTGGCTGCAGACCTTCACTTATTTTGGCTACAGAAACTACTGTTAGTTGTTACATTCCTCTGTGCTTCTTTCCTCATAAACACAAACTGCTTTGAAAATTATGAAATTAATTAATGATGCCACAAGATTTCTGCCTGAATTTGCTTTATTAAGGGTTTAGACTAATTTCAGCTTAGGCCAGAAGCTGGAGTTATATATCAGGGTCATCTAAGTCAGAGTTTTTAGGTTTCAGCTTTTAGAAAGCAAGAATTACCTGCTTTGGAGGGAAAACAACAGACCACAAACAAACAAACAAATAAACAAGAACCCTACAAAAAACCCCAGCAACAAACCATCAAAAGAAGCTCCACATCCCCCCTTTGTACAATGTTGTCAAGTTTGCTTTCCTGGACAAATAAATAAAAATGATGCTCAGCTTCTGGTTTGTATGTTACTTCAGTTTTCTCCAACGGTCTCTGTCCTTTGCTGCATGCATGAGGCTGTGCACAGTGCCATGTTCTCAGTCCTGTAGAAATTCATCAAATGTTGAATGTACAGCAAAGTTTTGAATACTGCCAACAGGAAGTGCCTAAGATCCTCAGGATGATTTTGGCTAACAGGCACTTCTCAGCTGCTTCAGACGAGCCCTTCAGAAGAGCTCATTTCTTCCATAACTTTAACTGAAAACAAGATTTTGAACAGTGATGAGAAGCAACGGCCTCTAATTGACCAGACTTTCAAAGATACCAGCCAAGACCTAAACTTTTCATATAATGGCCATTTAAGCTGAATCTAAGCAGAGGCTGAGCTTAACTTAAGACTCTGAAGTATATGAGTGTCTGCCTCTAAGTTTCTAAGAGTATATCTAAGTAATAGTATATGACTCTAAGTTTCTTAAATATGTTGATCTCCAAGTTTTCTCTGGCTAGATAAGGAAATCTTTTCGTTAACACTAAGTCCTGACTTTGAATACTAGGCTTTCTTCCATGTATTGGCATGAACTTGAAGTTTTAACTTGAAAATAATTTATTAGCTATTCTCTAGAGGCATAAGTGTATAGTTTCTATGCCTAGGCATGCTAAGCCCTGGCAATTCTGGTTTTATTTATCTGGACTGTGTTTTACTGTATTCCTTTAGGTCATATTATCCTTCTTCATATTGTATGTAGTTTGTTTTTTCAAGTGATATATTAAACTGGGCTAGCAGAAACATGCTGTTATTTCCTTTATATGAAAGAAGAATGTAGGAAGACCCAACCAAACTCACCTACTGTGGTTTGTTGCAGTGACATTACAGATCAAGGTAATGACCTCTAGAAGAGATGGTTCAGTTTCAACCAGTAATCATTATGCCATTATTTTACATACTTTCAATGCTTTAAATAGTAAGAGATTAGTCACCTTATATTATTCCAAAGCATAATTTCAAAAGTATTTGAGGATAGAAATTCAGTCCAAAAATTAGTTCTAAAAATACCATTCAGGTTTTGAGTGAGTTCTGCTGTTTCTGCAAAGTCTGAGCAAATGACATTTCTGTATTTTTCAAAATATAATAAACCAAATTAAAATATGCACAAATTTTCCCCATATGCTCTTAAGCAATCTTCGTTTTCTCAAAAAATAAAAAATAATCTCATAGTGAAAAGCTGAGGCTGAAAAAGCAAGAAAATGGGGGCAAGAGAAAGAAGACTTTATTTAAGAAACATTTGTTTCTGTGTATTCAAGCCTGCATTAAGTGCTTGGCCTGTCTACCTATATGTAAAAACTGTCAAAATGCCCCAAGGTATTAAACCAAATGTGTCAGCAAATACTAGGAGTCAGGTGTTTAGTGCTCTGGGTGTGTGGATGCTTGAGATTTTGCCAGGCACAAATGAACACTTTCATCAGCACATGGCTCAAAATGTGATAAAATATGCTGAAAAACAACACTGGTGGAAACAACAAAATAAATAGACTCTCAGCTTCAGTCTGATGTAATTCTTATTAGCAGCAAACTGATCTCAATGTACATTTTTTTCACCCTGAATTGTTCAGTCTGCATAAGTGCTAGGCACGTACTTTATAGTTGGGTTTTGGGAATTTAATCAGAGGGTGGCCATAAGCAATTTTGGTATTTCCCTTTTAATATGCAAAGAAAACTTTCCAGCCAGCTGCACTCCTGCTCACAGTTCTGCATTGTCTCCAGCTTCCAAAGAAATCTTTACTACCCCTGACTCTTTGGAGTTTATTGCTCTTGCTCTCCATACACATAGTATTTGCAAGGTTTCTGAGAACATCTTTCTCAGCTTCCCCTCAGCTGTAGAGATCAGCTGCCTCCAATACACTGGTAATGCCTGGGGATACTTTGAGCACCATGGAAGGTGTGAGGGAAGTTTGTGAGCAAGTGTCCAGAAAAATGTTAACAGCTAATATATGAATGAAGTTTTAGAGAAACTAAGTGTAAATCACTGTCGTTGTAAAGGGATTTTTACCGTTCTGAGATAAAAATCACTGTATATTTCTCTTTATCTTTTAGTCTTTCCTTAGCATCTCCTATTAACTGACATCATAAAAAGGATACAAAAAATTCACCTGTCCGGATATAAGTTTTCCCAAATATCAGGGTAAAGGCTGTAGAACAGAGAATGAAAATTAATATAACACCTAAATAAAAGGTAGGATGAAAGAGAGGATCATGGAGAAGCAACATCCATCAGATCATTTTATTAGACTATGGGAGGCTAACTGAACTTTTTAGGCTGCAACATTGCAGGTTAGATGGAGTTAGGATACATTCTGCTGAAAAGATGGTTACGAAAACTTTGCACAGATTGTTTTGTGAAACAATCTTTGTGGTGGTGGGGAGCTTTTGTATGTGGACGCTGTTGCTCATTTAAAAGCAAAATGTTGGTTCAGCATATACTTTGAAAGTGCAGTTGACACAGACATATCCTCACCTGCCAAACATGCTACAGCAGTGTTCCTGCTGGAAAAGGTGTGGAATTGGCAACCATGAACAGTAACTCCTTAAACCACAGAAGGTAGATTCAAAGCCATAATACATCTGAAGAATTGCAGTGGAAATAACTATAGCCCAGCACAGATAGTGCAGGGAGCTCAATTTCAGCCACATGTGCTGTCTTTGGGCAAAAATGTGTGTTAGCTGGAGGCTGGAAGAAACTGTGAGTACCTTAGTGGGCAAGGGAAGAGAGAAGGATGTCACTGTCTAGGCTACTGTAAGGTCTATGACATGATCCCCAGTAATATCATTCTCTCCAAACTGGAGAGATATGGATTTGATGGATGGACTCTTTGGTGGGTAAGGAATTGGCTAAACGGTCACAACTCAATGTCTGGATGGAAATCAGTGTTAAGTGGTGTCCCTGGGGGCATCTTTACTGGGACCAGTACTGTTCAATTAATCTTCATCCCTGGAGATCTTTAGACTTCCTTTCACTTCCTGCTCAGGATGTTTTATGTCTAGTACATCCCAAAGGTTGGATCAATACATAAATGTTGTGAAAGGCGTAAGTATTCTATGTGACTTTGTTAGCAGTTTTAGCCTTTTTCTTTTCTTGGTGTCTGTAACTGTACATTGACAAAGATAAAACTAGCAATCAAAATAAAATAAAAATACTCAGTACAGCAGTGTGTCTGCAATTTTCCTAAACTTTATTTTGAAAGGCTTTGCTAAAGTCCAGAAAAATCAGACTTAAATAATACTGAGTTAACATGGAAAACTTAATCTCTTCCCACTAGTGGGTGAAAAGTTTTGAGGACACTAGTATTCTGAAATCAGAATCAGCTGATAAAATGCTGCTTGTGTAATACAATGTTTATATTTGGAGTCATTCACAGAATACGAAGAAGCCACTCACACTGTCACATGTACTACTTCTTTGATCCAACATTATATTTACCTATAGTGCAGTGGGTAGATTTGCAGTCCTAAATGATTTAGACATCCTGTACTTTCAAATGAAAGAGGACCATTATGTCCCTTAGTTTTGGCTTCTGTATAACACAGAACAGAATCTTTCACCATGTAATTTACTTCATATTGCACATAATTTTTTTTGATGTCCACTATTTTAGAAAATCATTGAAACCAGATTTTAAGGCTTGATATGTTAGAGAAGACACTACCCCCTACTGTACTGTATTTTACTGGTGATCTATCAACCTTTTTTTTAAAATATGTGCAGTAATGAGCAAGGCTTCACAGCTACAACACTTGCTCTTAATGTGTTGTCAGTGCTTTGTGTAATCAATACAAGCCAGGCCAACATCTTCCTCAAATATAGACCTAAGTTCCTAAGGCAATGAACAGTGACAGAATTAAAGAACATCTCTCACCTGGATGCATGTTCTGTGCCATCACTACTACATAATCCCATGTGCTTCTTGTTATTTTTTCCCAATTTGATAGTCTTTAAGGAGAGATATGTTCACCCACTTAAATATCTTTAAAATAAGAATGATGAGTCACGCCTAAATAAACTAACAGATGTTCCAGTGTACCTTGGGGTGAGTACATCAGTCAGAATATTCATTATCACATAATATGCAACCACATTATCTTCATCTGTTCCTGTGGTTTATTCCCAGGAAACCTAGGCAACATTACATTCTACTAGGAGATCATTGGGTTCAAAGTACATTCATTCAGTCTTTGCAATCCCTTTTTGAAGAGATGAAACATGCATAAACATTTCTAAAATAGGCAAAATGAAACAGAATAGGCTTTGTATGAAATACATTTTAGTACAATTTTACTAGAATTTTCTCTACTGCCACAAAGAGGATCTTACTATGGCAAATTCAAGTGATGATTTAAAAAAAAAAAAAACTATGAAAAATGTTAGGATCTTCAGGATGAGTGTGTATTCAGAATATTTACAATAATATAATCCTTTCTGTGAAATTCAGGTAAAGTGTGGCACCGAGATCCTAAATAAACTTAATGGTTTTGCCTTCTTTTCCCTCATTGCAGTTCCCTTTCTATTTCTGAATCTCAAAACTGAAATATTTGTTTATATAGTTATTTATATAGTTTCTGGGTAGTCAAGCATCAAGTTCAGCAAAGTGCAAAGTCCTGCACCTGGGATGTGGCAGTCCCAGACACACCTACAGGGCTGTGTGAGAGCAGCCATGTGGAGAAGGACCCAGGAATGATGGTTGATAAAAAACTCACCATGAGCTGACAGTGTGTGCTAACAGCCCAGCAAGCCAGCCAAATCCTGGGCTGCATCAGGGACCATGGCCACTGGGTCAAGGGAGGTCATTCTCCCCCTCTGTTCTGCTCTCCTGGGACCCCACCTGCAGTACTGCAGCCAGGTATGGTGCCCCCAGCATAAGAAGAAGATGGAACTGGTGGAGTGAGTCTAGAAAGGGCTGTCAAGTTGGTCAAGGGGCTGCAGCACCTCCCCTACAATGACAGGCTGTTCAGCCTGCGGAAGAGAAGGCTGCATGGAAACCTCAGAGCAACCTTCCAGTGTCTGAAGGGGTATAGGCACACCGTCTGTGGTGATTGGGATGGGGCTGTGGCTGAGCGCAATCCCCAGTGGGTGCAGCTGTGAGCAGCAAGTGAGCAGCACTGACAGCAATGAGCCAGGGAGTGCCCAGGGCACTGACCCACCACCAAAGAGAACAGAGGGCTCACAGGGGCAGTGCATCAACAGGAGGGGCATAAAAGGTTGGGCTGAAGAGCAAGAAGGGCAGACACTTGCAGCCTTCTGCAGTGGTGTGGTGTTACTCTGTATGGGCAAATGCCTGAAGCCTTTAGAAGTGGTTTGGTGTTACTCTGGTTGGGGTGAAGCTTTCTGAAACCATATGATGATGCTCTATGTGTCGTGGCTGTCTTGACTGTGACATATGCTGTGACATGAAGGGGCCTATGTGGAAGCCAGACAGACACTCCCCATCCAGAATTGAGGTGATAGGACAAGGAATAATGGGCTCAAACTGAAACAGGGCAAATTTAGGCTAGCTGTACAGAAGAAATTCTTTATTGTTAGGGTGGTGAGGCATTGGAACATCTACCCAGAGGAGTTGCAGATGCCGCATCCCTGGGAGTGTTCCAAGGCTAAGTTTTACGCAATCTTGAGCAATCTAATCTAGTGGAGGTGTCCCTGTCCATAACAGAGGTCAGTGGGACTAAATGTTCTTTAAGGCCCATTAACATTCTGTGGTTCTATGATTTTATGTTTTGATGTACAATTAGGCTCTTGTACATGCTTGGTGACAAATTCTACTTTCATACTGATATCTTTGAACTTATCCAGGTTTATACAACTATGATCAAGAATCAGGAGTTGCACATCACTCTATACTATGAATGGTCATATCCATTTGGATTCAAATTATTTTGCTGTAAAGGTCATGCAGCACTTTTTTGGTTATTAAGAAGGTGATAATATTTTTCATGGCAACCTTTGCAGGTGCAAAAGAGTTTTTGGGAGGAGAAATAATGAGGAGGGAGATCAAGTTATGATTACAGATAATTATATATAATTTAAGTGGGTGTCCTTCAGCCAAGAGCTTTCTCAGTATCCAAAGGCAAGGTAGTGTAGCTGGAAACCAAGAGTAAAGGTGAGCATAAGAGGACAGAAAACTATTTTGGAAAGCAATGAAGCATGTAAGATTTGAGTGTTCAGAGAGATTAACATTTTTTGGCATGAGCAAATTATGAGTGAAAGACTACGGCAAAAAGAATCCTTGTGAATCTTAGTTATTTACGAGATAACCAAGACACAAGATGGAAGAAGACAAGCCATATTACTTCTATAAATAGCACTGTTATACTAGATTAGCACATCAGTGCTGCCATCTATACTTGAAAAGAATGCAGATATATAAAAAATTTCAATCAGTCCTGAAGATGAACTTGAGAGTATAAAGCTTTATATTATAAACTTAAAAGTAGCTCAGTTTCTGTAAATTTCTTTTTTTATAGAAGACAGCCCCTGTGTTCAGGTGATACTGAGGAAAGCTTTGATATGAACAGAGAGGAAAAATGTTTAAAATTCTAGTGAATGTATCTCAAAACAGGTAAACTGAATGATAAAGGAAGGTGCTTTCATAACAGAAGTTAAATGCAGAAATACCTGTAAAAAGGCAGGATATACAGCATCATTTGTAGTTTTTGTAACCAGATTGTGGTTCTTTCATAAGGAAAAGAAGTCAAACTACTGGAAGGAAAACAGAAATGGAGATGCGTCATGTGATCACAACTCTTTTCTTGATGTTGACATTTTATTTTCCATTTTGGGGAAGTCTTCTCTACTTTACATTCCTCTAGAAAAAAGAGAACATACTTTAGAAACTATTTTCATGCAATACATTTTGCTTTGGACTCAAGAAAAACATGGCAATTACTATGATCAAACATAACATGCCTGATTATTTTAGGCACTTATGTGCAAGAGCAAATTAATCACTTTTAATTTCACTTTACGAGCGACAGATGTATTTTTTAAATTCTTTGTTTGGCTAGATCTTATTTTGTAGCTGCAGACAGTTCAATATATGCCAGGTTAAGGGATCAAAAATGGTACAAAGAATCTTAATTGTATGACATGGGTTGGTATTTATCCATATGCCAGAGCTCAAACTGATCAGACCAAAAATACATTTTCTTTTCTGCCGATCAGGCTGGACTAGGTTTTTAATGTTTCCTTGGTTTGTGTTTGTCCATGAGAAGTTGTTTATTTACTTATGATTTTCCTTGTCATGGGTTATGATTCATCTCTTTCAGATCCTTGGAACATTTCTTACTTAATGAGCTCTGCGCTAGTCAAAGAGCCCCGGGCTGTGGTGGAACCTGGGTCTTTGCTGTTTGCTGCTGAGAGAAGGCAGTTGCTTCAGCACAAAACTGATGAGATGTTTTTGTTTGACTCAATTTGTTAGCCTTAGCATAAGCTATTTGGGCAAAATGGTTGTGAAGGGGAGGATGTGAATACAGGAGGTTGGAATACATGATCTAAATGTCTTAACTGTGTTTAAAACTACAGACTAGGCAAGCCACTAGCACTTATTTGTATAGTTTTTCTTACAAAGTTATCTCTTTTCTGTACGTAGGTCATACCTCAATCATTTTGGTAAAAGAAAGGAAAAATATAATATAATGCATGTGAAACCTCTGAAAGTACAGAATTTCAAAGAATTTGTTTCACTTAATCTTTAGAACACAGGCTAAATGTGTCTGAAACTTAATAGCTATTCTGCTTTCACATTATGTTGCCCCATACAACATATGCATTATAAATATTTGTACAATGAAACAGTAAAATAGAATATTGATATGTTTGTCTCATTTGTTACATAGTCTTAGTTTTCTGTTTTTATTAAATTTACGTGGCAAATGTTTTACTGTTATTTACTGTAATATGTGTTACTATAATTTCTTCTACAGCATGAAATGACAATAACACATCTTAAGTAATAAAAAAAAATGTCCAAAAGAAGAGATGCTTTAACAGGAAACTCAGTACTGGTTTGAGGGTCTAAACCACTTCCTGTTTGAAGGCCAAAAGAGCAGGATTCATACCTCTTATAGATAGGAGTTTCTGCACTGGGTCATATTGGCTGATATTTATTGAACACTTGCCCAAATACTAAACATTGTGTGTAAATAAGATTGGACAATGTGAGAAAAATAGAAGTGCCTTGCTGAAGTTTCATATAATTTCAATTTGCTGCAGCCAGGGTGAATTTAATTTGGTGGACTATGTTCAATTTATGCATTTTTACATTGTTCCTTCCCTGATAGGTAATAAAGCTGTCTTTATTTGTTTAAGAAATACTTCAGTTTCATAAAAACACAACATCTTCTTCTGTTCTTCATTTGCATTGAGAACTCTTTACAGTTCCCTGGCTATAAATGTCTCCTGTAGCCCACACTGCCAAAATACTTTAAAGGAATTTTGGAGGTGAGGATAAGGCCTGCTTTGCTAAACAGAGGGATAGAATGTAAAAGATGGTGAACCATGTGACTACATTTCTCCATTTACTGACATGTACAGTCTAAATGAGCATGTAGAGAATCAAAACTGGTGAAATTTACAAGCTAGGGAAAAAAGAATGTATAATGAGATGGAAATAAAAGACAATTTGCACCTTTCCTACTCTTCATGCTAGCCCTTTTCCCTCTTACCACCTTTTTTTCCAAATCCTTAGCATGCCAAATACACTGTCATATGCTGAGATTTACACATTTTTATTCTGGTACCCATTTCCCCACATCTTATATATTTATCTTTCAATGGAGACCACACTTCTAAAGTTTTCTTCCCTTCTTTCCCCCTCTTCTAAAGAACACTGACAACAGCAGTACCACAGGACACACCTTCCCTCACTGCCCTGCCTCAATGCCATTCAGGGATTACCTCATCTCCTAGCAGAGATGGGACCATATGAGGCTCTTACTGTATTCAGGAAGAGTAAATAGTTCCCTGCAGGACTATATAACTCTTCTTTACTTATATTAGGCATAGTTTGATTCTAGTAATACGCTGGCACTGTAGGTTTGGAAAAGACATTCATCATTGTCTTTCTGCATCTTGTTTAGTGAGTGGGACTATGCAAAAATGGAGTGTGAAAGGGGATTTGAATTGTAACTTTTAGCTGGTATGTTGCAGAAATTCTGAGAAATCACAGAGGACTATTCTGAATTAGCTTTCTTATTGAAACCTGCAGTTTATTATACTGAGAAGGGGCTCTAAAGAGCAAATAAAAAAGTCTGGGTGTAATGACTTAGTGTTTACAGAATATAACCGCTACAAGACTGATTGCTTGATACATTACTTCTTTCATTGTGAGCCGCAAAACAGGTAGAGGCATGGTAGACTAATTTGGTTTATATATTCAGCTGTAAGGCTAGACACTGCATCATTCTTTTCATAAAGCAGGGACTGGAGGCATGTGGGGCCTGTAGCCATGGCGACAATAAAACAGCTCCAAGCCTGAGCTGTAAGTAAGAAACTCGGCCTTGTCTCCAACCCTTCCTGCTCACCACTCGACTCTACACGCTCTCTGGAGAGGGGGCTGGGTGCTCATGAATGATCTATTGAGCAGAGGTACAGTATTGAAAAGCATGTCTACAACGAGCCTTTTAGCAGAATTTCCCACTGTTAGACTAACACGAGCTAGTGGTGACATCAGCTTGAGCGTGCAAAAAGTCCTGGCAGCTGTTCCACTTCACCATACGGATTTACTGCTGTATAGTAAGCACTGGTCATTAAAAGGCAAACAGCTTGTCTACATTAGAACTCCCATTGTTGCCAGCACTGATGGAGCTGCAGGAAGAATGGTGAACACCTAGGATTCCAGCTGGAATCAACATTGTTTGCAGATACCCAGGAGTCCCTGAAGATGGGACACAAAGTGCCTAAACTGACGTTTTATTGACATGAACAGGCAATATGAAAGCAATATAGCAACTTCTGGTGTGTTACATGATTGAAATGGATAATCCGCACAACTCACGTGAAGAAAGTTCCAGTGATAAAAGAAAATAACAATTTCAGGCAGATCTGTTTTCAGAGCATAGCTCTTTGTTGCTGGTGGTGTGTAGTGCATCCTGTTGCAGTCCATGAAGACCTAGACGAGCACATGGTGCTAACAGGACCTGCCCTTTTCATATACTGTTTAGCATCAAAAGACAGTTGGAAATACATGAAATAGTATAGGAATTACAAGTGGTAGTAATTGGCAAGTGAATGGGGAGAAACTCAGGTCAATTAATACAACAATTTAACCCATTATATTTTATTTCAAATGAGAATTTCTACAAATTCTATGTGAAATCACTTCAGTGCTTTCTAATTTCCTTCTTCCACAAAGATGAAAATCACCTTGATATTTTTATATATGGTTTTCTGTCTCTTTTGAATCACTAACGATCTTACATCATTAAATTTGCACTATGCAAACTGGTCTTGCAGGTAAGTATGGGAACACCTCTTTTCAAGAGGGTCTCAAGGCTATAAAAATCTAATGAGCAAGGTTTATTATATTCCTGATGACAACTGAAGATTAATTTAGCAATGGAGTTACTTAATGAGACCTGTGATCACCTTCATCTGGACTGGGCTCTGTAATGACTGAGAAGAACACTGAAAAGGAAGAACTGTAATGATAGGCTCTCATTGCAGTGCTTTAACTCCAAGTCTGTTAATTAGTTTCATTTTCATCTGATTTTGCAGTAATAATGCTTTCTGATTTTAGATATGAGAAATTGCAACACTTTAATTTTGATTTTGCCAGTGTTGGAGTCATTGCTGGATAATAATATTGGGCAAGAAAGAATTTTGCCTAACTGTAAATGTCAGCAGCTCATCCTTTGTGTTTTCCTCACTAGATGATAGGGTCCCAGCAGATCATAAAAGTCAGACCTGGTTTTTAGTAAGAATTCTTGGGCTTCCATGAAGGTAAGAAATCCACTCACATGTTGCATCCTGTAACATATCACTGTTACTTTGAGAAACTTAACAGTTAACTCCCAGAAAGTCAATTGTTAAAGTTTGTTATCTTCTCATGAGTAATTGTAAGATAATATTAATGCCACAATCAGTTTCAGGAGGTCAGGCTTAGGATTTGAGTTTTTTCTGTACAGTTCACGTCTCAGTAATGTTTTGTACATTGTTTTTCTACTTCATAGTTGTTTCTTCCTCTGTTTTATTTACATTCACTCACGCTGTTCAGAAAAATCTCACAAACCAAGAAATACTCCAGTTAAGTGCTTTTCATTTTATTAAGGTAATTACCTTTATTATTAATTTATGAAAGGCATAATAATAGTTTAGAATGTGAGGATTTATCTCTAAAAAACCCCAAATTTTGAGAAAAAAACCCAGTGCATAATATGTCTTGGAAAAATGCATCAAAGATGAAAAATATATTTGTCATCCTCACAGTCATTTTACTGTTGCTACTTGGCTATACCATTTTGATTAGGGATCAAACACTATCTGGTGTTTAATGGACCTTTTAGTTCATATGAAATAAATGTATTGCTTTTATAATTGAAACAAAGTAAAAATCACATTTGACTTTTGTATCACTTGTAATTTTTGAAGTATTGAAATCTTTCAACTATAAACATAAACAAATGAAGTACAAGCATTTTACTTATTTGACAAAAAAAATTATTTTAATTTATCAGAAGAATCTACCTACTCAAGCTAGTGTCAGCAGTTATAATCACATAGACTTAATCCTTCACAAAAATGAGAAGAAAACCTCAAGCCCAACCACTGCATAAGGCACTTCATTTCTTATATAATAATGTTTCTGAAGGGCAATTTTTCTTCAGGACAGAAATAGATTAAATGTACTGGATGTATTGAGTTTGAAGTATTTTAACTCGGCCCCTTTTATAGCTTGGCCTTATAGCCTTGAAAAGGTGCAGCTTGGAGAAGTCTGAGATTTTTGCCATGCTACCTTCAAAACCAAACTAATGTGTAGCATCCACTTAAGATGTTTGGCGTCACAGGTGGCAGTTAAAGAAATCATCATTCAAAAATGTCATCCAGGCATCTAAAAGCAGCTGAAGGGAAGTCCTGAGTGTATCTTTGAATTCTCTCTGACTGTTGCATGCACGCTTGTGCATCCCCCAGGTTCAGACAGAGCATATGACACGACACCTCCTTCTTGCTTTCTTTAATATTATATTCTAACAATGCATCCAGGATGCCCCTGGCCACTGTAGACCCCCACAGTACTGTCCCAAGGCCCCCTGCACCCCACATGAGGCACTGGGGAGCTGGAGAGAAGCTACATGTCTGTGCTGGGAATGCCTAACTTGTCCCTTCCGGGAAGGGTCAGATGCAAGCCTGAAAATTGGGAAGGTTCATCTATACAAGGGCTATACTATCAGCATCTGGAAAAACCTCAGTTTTACCACAGTTATAATTATAAGAACAAGTCTATAAAGTAAATTAGTTGTGTCTGATGCAGAATTGAGGATAAACTTGCTAAAAATTACTGTCTCTAGAGCCATAGGCAAATTAATATAGTTTGGTTTTCTGAATGAATAAGATTATTAAACAAATGACAGTCTTTATATCCCATCTATGAATGGAACACATATAGTAAAATTCTATGTGCTAATAAAGCACCAGTGGAAAAATATGTTGTTTTTGCTAATTCACTGGTTCTATCTTTTATTAAATTTAGACTAACGTGCTAGCAAATACAGAAAAAAATATTCAGCAATTCATCTCGTTCTTTAAGGTAAGACATAATCTTAAATATACATTGATACATGTTTTATGGAGGTCTTTAAAAATTTTATAAGAAGAAATTACTTTGTATTACTTTGTATTAAATCAACATTTTGGATATTTTTATTAGTAGGCTTATGACCGAATTTTTCAATACATGCAGGAGGAGGTGTATGCACATTTGCATGTGTATCTATGTACTTGTTACAAGTTGAGAATGTTAAAATCTGTAAAAAGATTAATGTATTTTGGTACTATTCACAGACTTCTAGAATAAAGAATAATACAAAGAAATGTTATTGATAGCATAACAAAACTACTATTCAATTTTTAGATTAACAATTATTTTAATTATTATTTGCACATGAATATGTTATAATTTATGTACTTACTAAAATACTTAATGTCAAATGGATCTTTTTTTCTTTGCTTGTTTTGGCAGAAGAAAATACAGGATTATTTTTCTACAATGTCATCCTTCAGGGACTTTAGAATGGTTTGCAATCATTAATTGGGGTTCAAAACAGTACTCTGATGTAATTTTTTTTGTGGGCAAAATGAGGAT